GTGGAGGCAACTACTCAGTCATTACACAAATACGTTGAACTCACACCTAACTACTCTAGCTCATTGTGGCATGAGTTCCATGTTTTCATCTTTTAGTGTCAATTTTGGTCCTCCCCTATTAATAGGGATCATATGCACGTACTGATTAAAGAATCATAAAATTTGACTTTTTCTCTTTCTTTTTCTACTCTTTTTTGTCACACTCCAACCTAATATAACCCACATGTGACAATGAACCACATCGAATGCCATAAATTCTAGGCCTCATTAAAATCTTAAGATCAATATAACATGGTTTTATTTGGATTACACATTCTAAAAAAATTTAATGAGAGATTGACCATCCATAAGAACAACTTCAATTCTATTATCATAACCTCAACCATAAACAACATTTTGATATTGATGTCGCAAGCAATATGAACATAAGCATGATATCCTTTATGCCATAATTTAAAGATACATACTAATTGTGCTTGTGTTTGCAACTTAGGCTTCGTTTGACATAGCTTTTTTGTTGCTTTTCTTTTCAGATCGTAATCATAATTTTTATTTGACCATTTCTTTTTCACTGGGATTATTATTAGGAGATGATGGTGGGGAGATTGTAGTCAGGACACGATGGCCGAGGGATTGAAGTTGTGTATTCATGGTCAGGAGATTGTAGTCTAGCGAGCATTGTTGGAGGACCATAGTTAAGCAATAATGATCAAAAGACTACTATAGGGGGGTGATGGTTTACGGATTAAAGTCAAGTAATTGTGATAAAGGGACTATTGGAAGACCCAAATTGGACAATGATTATTGGTGGACTATAGTGGGGTGATCGGAGTCGAAGTACCATAGTTGAATGATGGTGTTTGTAGTACTGTAGTTGAATATGAGTTGTCAAATGACCACAATTAGGTGAGAGTTGTCTTGGGACCACAATTGAGCGACAATGATTAAATGACCACAACTGGGCAATGATGGCCAAAGGACAAAGTTGAGCGATGGTGATAAGGGCATCATAATAGGGAGATGGATGATTGATGAGAAATTATAGTTAGGTGATGGTATTTGGGAGTTTATAGTATGATAATAATGGTCAAAGGATTATTATTGGAAGATGATGGTAGGAGTGTCGCAGTTTGATGATAGTGGTTGGATGATAGTGGTCCAATGATGTTGCTCGAATGATGGTGGTGAGACAATGGTGATCTCACGATGGTGCTTTGACAACAATGATTAGACGAGGATGGTCATGAGTAGGTCCATTGGAGTTATTGGATTTTTTAATCTCTTAAGCTCTTTTGATTTCAAGATAAGAGTCCTAGCCCTCTTTCATGTAGACCGTGTGGATTTATTTTCAAATTTATGAGAGTTGCATTGCTCGTAAATATAGAAAAATAAAAAAGTTTATAACACTCTTGCAAACGACCCGTACTGACTCGCTTGATCATATATTTTTCTTTAGTATTTAATTACCTTAATGATGCTAGAATCATGTAATGTTTCTTGTTGGAATATTTATCTCGTTTATACCCTCGATTTGACCGTAAACTTTTGATCATTTAATCTTCTTCTTAATATCCCAAAAATATTAATTATAATTCAAATGCTTGATTTAGGCTTGTTCTGATTTAAATCCAATCACTCTTGATGTCAATGAGTGTCTCATAAAGACGTTCAATTTGACTTTTAAGTATGCTAAAATTGAAGTTTTAATAATCTTTAATTTGAATATGCATTATGATTTTTGTTCAATTATAAATCAACTTAATTTTACATATTAAATTACTTTTCATTATATTAAATTAAATGCACATAAAAATACAAAATAGTAAGTGCTGATCATAAATTTGAAAAATATGATGAATAAAATAGTAGGCTTGAAAGCATTGCTAAAATGATATTTCTCCTGCAATTTGGGCACATAAATCGCCTAATTCAGTAGCAATCAAAGTTCATTTTCAAACTGGTTATACAGTATTGATAAGAAAAATTACTAGATAAAGTAATTGTTATTATAGTCATGTTCAAATCATATTGTTGGTGGACCCATATAAAAGTCAGAATGGATTTAAATCAACTAAGGCTCTTTTTTTTTTTTTGGAGAAATTATTCTGTGTGGTTATCGAACTGTTCAGAGGGGAGCCAGAATACGCCACTTCATCCGGTATCAAGCAGTACAGAGAAAAAAAATGACATGACATGTTCTTATTCGCCTCTGGATAATATTTGGTGACCACATAGAATAATTTATCTTCTTTTGATACAACTTTTTAAAACAACTTTTTAGTACAAAATTTCTTTTTAATTTTTTTTATACTTAAAGATGCTTTATAAAATAGTACAAAAGCTACTCCAAAAAGCTTAATTAAGCGTCACAAAATGGTAAATTATTAGGTCATGTGACCTGCGTAGCTCTACGTTCGGATTCCAATAATATGTCGTCATGTGTTCTTACTCTTTATCGCGCGGCCCGATGACCCAACCTGGAACGGAACCCTTGATTGTTATGTTCACGTATTGCTCGGTATTGCTAGGTATGCTTGGCAATAACGAGAAATACCGCTCTATCAAGGCCAATACTGAGTATGATCGGTATTGCTATGTATTGGTCTTCACAAAATGGTATTTCTCGTTATTGTAAAGCAAAATCGACGAATACCTAGCAATACCGAGCAATACGCGAACATAGCAATCCCGGGTCATTTCCGGGTTGGGTTGTCGGGTCGTGCGGTAAAAAGTAAGAACACGTGACACTATTTCACTGGAGTTCGAACGTGGAGCTACGCCACCGGACCAAATAAAAGTTCCACAAAATGATGAATCAGACTCGGGACACCTTAAAAAAATCACTCAACCTATTTGATCATCTTTTCAGTAAAAAGCAATAACTCATTTAAAGTTACGGATTTTTTTTTTTTTTGTCATTTTTTGAAGTTATCACATCAAATGAGGATAATTGGGATTATTTCACTCATCACAACTTAAATATTTTTAAGGGAATTATGATTTTTTACCCATTTAAGAATGAAGCATTTTATAAAAAGTGACGTATTTAAATTTAAATTAGCTTAAGGAATAATTTAACAAAAAAATTTAAAAAGGAACAAATACAAAACTTAATTATACTACTTTGACTGTAATTTTAAAATAAATTGGAACATAATTTTAAAAGAAATCGGAACACAAAATTACGAAAACCCTAAAAAGCCGGAATATCAAAGCGGTTTCTTAAGAAACCAATTTTAAGAAAGTAATAAATTGCCATTTTTTAAAGATTGAAACCGAAAATTAATAAAGTAATAAATTGCCATTTTTTTCACAAATGTTTAAAGTTATTGGCATTTTATAAAAGCTAAAACCAAGAAAATGTTATTAAATGTTTTTCAAAAGTTATTAATTATTTTAAACTTTAAACTTTTTATAAAAAGATTTTTAAAATTTATAATTATATTAATTATTATTTTTAGATTATTAATTATTTAAGAAAAAAATAATGATTAATAATCTTTTTAAACTTTATATTAAAATGTTTATAAACTTTATATTAATTTTTTTCTTAAATATGTTATAATTAAAAAATTATAATATTAAATTCCGGTTTCTAATGTTTTAAATTTTATAAAAACTGATTATGCTTTAAAAAATAAAATAAATTAATTTTACTTTTTAAAAACATTTCTGTTTTTTAGAAATTGATTATGAGAAGAATTACTAGATAAAGTAACTGTTCTTAATAGTCATGTTCAAATCATATTGGTGGTGGACCCATATAAAAGTCAGATTGGATTCAAATCAACTTAAGATTTCTTTTGAGATAATTTTTTTATTTCTTTATAAAATAATTTTTTATACAAATTTTTCATTTTAAAAATTTTTAAATATTTTTACAGCTGCTTTATAAAATATTATATAAGGTATCAACCTAATTGATCATGCTTTCTTGTAAGAACTCATTTAAATTTATATTTTTTTGTTATTTTTTAAAGTTATCACATCAAATTAGGATAAATGTGATTATTTCGCCCATCAAAACATAAATATTTTTTTATGGGAATTATGATTTTTTACCCATTTAATATTGAGAGGTTCTAATTGATTTTATTCGTGTCAGATCGTTTTCAGGTCAAAACCTAGATCGTGAACTAGGGATGCATGTGAGCCAACTGTTCTCGTGAGTCAGCTCTAACTTGATTAACTAATGAGCTGGTGAATCGAGCTAAACAAGTCACTAGTTCTAGTTTGAGCTTAAATTGATGCTCATATATAGTATGCAAATTCGATCCCAAACTTCGTCCAATTAAGCTTCTTAGCTTATGAAGAAGGCTGAATTAATATTATTTAACCCAAAGATACTTATATTATTTTAATTTACTATCTTTTGTCTCTTATTAATGACTTGATCGCCCAAAGTCACAATCCCCTCACTAGGACTATTACAGCTAAAATTACACTCCATATACTTCTATTCAAAATAAAAAATCAAGCCCGAGCTTGTGTCAATTTTGAGCTCAAGCCTCGTATTTTTCACTTATGGATTGATGGCAACGCCGTGGGGTGTTGGCTTTCAAACTATAATGAGGCAGGCTCCCTGTTCGCCCCCCTGGAAGGTCGTGACTTGTTTTGACAACTTTGGTGGTTCATTCTTCTATGTTCATGGATGATTAATGTTTATTCTTCTTTCAATAGAGGATCCAAACTTGACAATCGAGTGGTAAGTCCAAAAATTTGGATTATTTATCCTTTCTATTTTACGCTGCATTTTATCGATTAATGTGGTATTTTCAGCTTTGTATTTTTTATTTTTTAGTTTTTTTACCTTTCGGTTGGATATCTTTTTTCTTATGAAATAAAATTAATTGTTAAAAAAAAGGAGCCTCATATTCTTCGGCAAATTAGTACGTCCGGTGTCCGAATTCGTCCGAAGGCGAATCTGAACGCTCCACATCATCCCGACCCCAATGCATCTAGGTGACGTGACGCGTCCTGATTTGCCTCCGGACGGTCCAGACACCACAAGTAATAATTTGCCCATATTCTTCACTTGAATCATTATAAATTAAAGTAATTTGGCTCCATGAAATAATATGTATATATATATTCAATCATGGAGCATGGATTAAGGGGGGTTTGGTTCCCGCAGATCTGAGCACAACTATAAAACCAACGCTCAACACATTCTGCCTTTCTCCCATTTGTTCTCCACAAAGAGAGAATGCTTGGCTGCTTCTCGAGGTCAAGACGCCCTTCCCCAACTCTACCTCCGTTAACCAAACCCTCCCCTCATGCTACCGCCGGCCACCCCTCCTCCGCCGTTTTCAGATCCTTCAACTCCCTCTTCGAACCCCTCTCCTCCGAATCCGACTCCCACACTCCATCCTCCTCCCAAACCCTATCCCTAACCTCCTCCTCCGCCGCCGATTCCGACCCGATCTCCTCCGCCATCGCTTCACGCCGCCTCTTCCCCGCCTCCCCTGGTCCATCCAATTCCATCCTCGACTCCCCTGCCGCCACCATCAGCCTCGGATCGGCCGGCGTCGCTGTTCCAACCTACACACCAGACCCCTATTCCGATTTCCGGCGGTCCATGGAGGAGATGGCCGCTGCGATCGGCGTTTCCGGCTGTGGAACTCAGCTCGACCTCGCCGTCCTCCGCGAACTCCTATTCTGCTACCTCAAGCTCAATCGGAAGCAAGCGCATAAGTATATTGTTAGCGCCTTCGCCGATCTTCTCGTTTCACTCTCCGACGATGAGAAGGGTTTCGGCCATGAATGACGAGAGAGCTCTGTGCTCTGTTCTGTTCTCGGAGCCTTCGGTTCTGTCTGCTTTTGCTTTTACGGGTGCGTTTGTAATGGCTGTACTGTACTGAACCTCTGAACTATACGTACATAACTCCTTTTTAAAAAATAAATATTTTTTTTTTCCGACGCATACATTGATCTGAACCGTTGGTTTGATCTTTGAATGTCAGATTTATATTATATGCATCGTCTTATACTTCTTATAGGATGATAAGAAAAAACAATCATTTTATTTTATTTTAATAAATTCTATTATACATAAATTATTATATTACTAATATAATATTTTAGTATCTCCATAATATTAAAAGATGTCATAATATTTTTCAATAAAATTAAATCTATATATTAAACAATTATTTGTGTGTTTGATAATGAGAGGCAGATATTAATTATTATGAGTGCCAAAATTGTATTCATTTTGAATATGAACTTGACGTAGTATGAGTTCAGTCAATTCGAATTTGACTCGTTTAATAAATAGATTAAAAAAAAAAGAATATGAATCCTATCTGCTAAATGTAACAACCAAATTCATAACTATCGAAATATTGTTCGCTTTGGCCTTAAGATTTCATGATTTTGTCATATTGGTGTAACTTCTTAGTAGGTCATCTATTGCATAATTGCTTCATGATGAGAACACTCAATTGTTGAGTTTCTTAAATGAAATTTCAACAATTACACTAAAAATCATCTCGATGTTTAAGAGTTTAGCTTCTTTTACATAAAGGGTTTCACAACTAGCAAGTCGAATGATTCGAATCTGACTCAAAAACTTATTTTGAGTACTATTTCTTTAATAACTTATCAATTATAGAGATAAAAAATAAGAAAATCATACTAACAAACAAAAAAAAAATTAAGAAATAAAATTAAAACGATCAAGATCGATTTTGTTAGTCAACCTGAACGACCAATTAAACGGTGTGGAAGTTTAGAACCGAACTCAAATAGTTCATTAAATGGATTAACACAAACAAAATTCTTAGAATTAGATTATCAGATCGGATTATTTATTGACACCCATAATCAAAACTAAAAATTTCAATTCATTTACAAATTAAAATTTTATTCCTACTTAGCTTGACAGATAATATACAACTATAGCTAACCAAATAAAGCCCAACCATATTTAAATTTGAATAATAGTGTTGGAATATTAAACTACAAAACATTACGCTTAAAAAAGTTTCACTTATTGATACCAAATTGAGCGGGACCTTCATCACGTTCTCATGTTCATGTATTAAAGTGACACTAATCATTCCTCCCCTAATAATAGCTCAAAATTTTAAAGATTTATATATAGATATAGCATTGGCCCTATTTAGACTTCATTTGAGACGGCTTCATTCTTTCTTTCTAAAACAATTTTCTAGTAATTTTTTTTTTCAACATTTTGTACTAAAAAACCGTTTTAAAAAATAGCACGAAAGCTGCTCAAACAAAGTCTTAGTCTCTCGGTTATATAAAATTTGACTATACTGATCTCTGATGTTATAATTATGACAAATTGATTATAATTAGAGGCGATGCCAGCTTTGCTTTTGAGGGTGGGTAAAATTGGTAGCTGGTGTTCATAGAAGTGTAGATGGTAGGGGCTTTTAAGATGGTTGGATTGACGGAGTCCAAGCAGCAATTCAACGAGCATGAATGAGAGGGGATTCTCAAAATTGCTCTCCCTTTGAAGTAAAACTCAGTTTTGAGGGTGGACAATTGTCCATCCTCGATTCAATGTGGTTCCACCCCTGATTATAATTTAGCCTTAAATGGGCTTTTTTTTTTAATCAAATTTGGATAGTCAAGGAATTAAATTAGAGCAACGTGATATTCTGGGACTAGATTAGTTATAAATGAATAGTTTGTGGACTATTTTGAAGTTTATCCCATATGTATATATAAGTGAATATAAATTCGTCAACGAAATTTCTTGTTGAATTCTTATCTCCGGTGAAAGATGCCGAGTCTGGGACGAAGAAGGTATAGGGAATACGACAAGAAGATTAACAAGAAACTATTTCATTGGATAAATAGCACAGGGTACAGAAGTCTATAAATAGACTTTAGCCATGTCACTTTACACGTGTTAGTTTCTTACAGGATACGTAATACTAAGTGCAATTATATTATGCTAAGCTTAATTAAGTGTGCTCTAACATCTCCCCGCAAAGTGACGAGTCTTCTTGGATCGTCAATTTGGATCTTAACAGTTTGAAGCGAGGAGTAGGTAACGCCTTAGTAAAAATGTCGGCGATTTGATCCACAGTGCTGATCGGGAGTAGGCTGATGGTTTTGCGTTGGATGTGATCACGGACGAAGCGCTGGTCGATTTCAATGTGCTTTGTACGCGCGTGAAACACTGGGTTATTAGCCAGTGCTATCGCGGATGTATTGTCGCAGAAAATGGTGACCGGTTCTTCATGCGGAATTTGAAAGTCTGATAAGAGACGCTTAAGCCAAATAGTATCTGCCGTAGCTGACGCCAGGGCCCTGTATTCCGATTCAGTGGACGATCTGGATACAGTTGTTTGTTTCTTCATCGTCCAGGAGACTAACATGTCCCCTAGGAATGTGCAGAATCCAGATGTTGATTTCCAAGTGTTCGGGTCACCTGCCCAGTCGGCGTCCGAGAACGTTCTGAGTTGAAGAGTGGATTTAAGAATCGGTAGACCGAATGTAACCGTCCCTTTAATGTACCTAAGAAGACGTTTAAGCAGGCGAAAATGAAGAGCAGCGGGGTCATGCATATGTTGAGACAAAGTGTTGACAGCATGTGCAATGTCAGGGCGAGTAATCGTAAGATACTGAAGAGCCCCAGTGATGCACCAGTAGGTCGTTTCGTCGAATGCGTTGGTGTCTTCAGTGAGTTGCATCGGAGGTTTCATACATGAGGGATTAGACAAAGAATTACATCTGGTTAGATTTGTTTGTTGAAGTAAAGAGTGAGCATACGCTTGTTGAGATAGAAGATACTTATCTTGTTCATGTTTGATGGTTATCCCGAGAAAATTGCTTGCTTTGCCCAGATGTTTCATTGTAAATTGAGCATGAAGCTTCTGAATCAGATCTGAGATTGCTTTATCATTATCTCCAGTAATGAGAATATCGTCAACGTATACTAGAAGGAAGAGCCGAATATTTTTCCGATGATAGACCAGAAGAGACGGATCAGCCTTGCTATGCTGAAAGCCGATTTGGATCAGGTGATTTGTGAACGTTGTGTACCACTGACGCGGAGCCTGCTTGAGTCCGTAAATTGCTTTCTTTAGGCTGCAAATGTAATTTGGATGCACGTTATCTTCGAAGCCTCTTGGTTGTTTCATGTAAACCGTTTCATTCAAGGTTCCATGTAAGAACGCATTCGTGACATCCAATTGTTGTATATTCCATCCGTGATAGAGGGCAACCGTAAAGAACACACGAATGGTTGGAAATTTTGCCACGGGACTAAAGGTTTCTTCGTAGTCTAGGCCATACTCTTGGCAATTTCCCTGAGCCACGAGCCTTGCTTTGAAGCGAGCTACGGAGCCATCAGCCTTAAATTTCTTGCGAAATGTCCACTTGCATCCCAATATGGAAGCATTCTTTGGTGGAGGAATTAGATTCCAGGTACCTTGCTGTTGAAGGGCCGCAAATTCCTCTTCCATTGCCTGACGCCATTCGAATTTCTTGCTTGCCTCTGAGTAAGTGGTGGGAGTGTCCAGAGAGTTTTCATGATTGAGCTCGTGATGTAGATTCATACGCTGTATAGGTTTGAGTGACCCAGTTTTTAGACGAGTTGTCATGGGGTGCTGAGTCGGGACGACAGGGGAAGAGTGAGGTTGCTCCAGTGTAGTTTGTGCAGGTAATGTTGTGACGGATCTAGCGTCTGGTTTGTCCAGACCTGTGTTGTTGTATGTATTGGGCTTGATGTATTTTGACGTTGGAATGACAGTGTCGTAAGCCTTAGATATAGGAAGAAGTAGCGGAGCTGGAACATCAGGAATTTGAGTGGTTGCAGAACTGGTGATCTGCATAAAAGGAAACAAGTGTTCTATGAATGTAACATGCCTAGAGATTATAATATTATTATTGTCTTGGTTAAGACATTTGTATCCTTTATGCTTGTCCGAGTACCCCAGGAAAACACACATAGATGATTTTGGCTGCAGTTTGTTGGACGATTGGTGAGGTAAGTGAGGAAAGCAGGCACAACCGAAAATACGCAGGTGCTGATAATCCGGACTTATGTTGAACATGAGCTGAATAGGTGTCTTTTGGCGTATGGTAAGAGACGGAAGACGATTGATGAGATATACCGCCGTGGCTATTGCTTCCGGCCAGTAATTGTGCGGAATCGAGGAAGTATGAAGCAGAGTTCTTGCCGTGTCAACAATGTGTCTGTGTTTGCACTCCGCCACCCCGTTCTGTTCCGGTGTGTAGGGACACGAGATCTGGTGCTGAATGCCTTTGGACACGAGATAACTTTGGAACTGAGTGTTCATGTATTCACTGCCGCCATCCGTGCGAATCGTTTTTAATTTTTGTTCAGTTTGATTTTCAATTAGAGTAATAAAGTTTATAAATGTCTGCGTGACATCAGATTTTAGTTTGAGTGGAAAAATCCAACAGAAACGAGAGTAGTCATCGATCATAAGAAGATAGTAGCGAAATCCTAACTCCGTGGTGACAGGAGACGGACCCCATACATCTGAGTGAAGTAATTGAAGCGGTTTAGTAGACTTATTAACAGAAGAATCAAATGAGAGTTTATGACTCTTGCACATTGTGCAAGCTTTACAAGCAGTTAGACTACTAGAAATCTGAAGACTAGGATTGGACTTGGATATTTGTTGAAGAGCACGATGATGAGGATGACCCATTCTCTCGTGCCAGTTTATTCTCTTGATTTGGCGAGCCTCCATAGCTTGCTGATTGCGCGTCACCTGAGGTAGCGTGATCGGGTAGAGCCCATTTCTACACGGACCCCTGAGAATAGTTTGGTTGGTCTGCAAATCCTTCAAGAGAAAACCATTAGGAGTAAACGTAATAGAAATATGATTGTCAGATACCAGATTAGAGATAGACAAAAGATTGTGCGAAATCTCAGGAATATGAATTAGATTTGAC